CTTCTTCTTCTTCTTCTTCTTCTTCTTCTTCTTCTTCTTCTTCTTCTTCTTCTTCTTCTTCTTCTTCTCTCTCTCTCTCTCTCTCTCTCTCTCTCTCTCTCTCTCTCATCTCATCTCATCTCAAAGATAAAGGTTGAAGGGCAAGGCTAAAAAGGTAGGTCTCTTTTGTCATCTGGCCAACTGGACCTGAAGAAGCTGAAGCCATTTTTTACATAAAGGTGAACACGCCTCCAGTGGGATCCATAGTGGGGAAACGCCCAGCCCTCAGAACATCAGCACTAGAGTAGATCATAAGGGAAGAAAATGGAAAGAGAGACTGTAATAATTACTGTTGTCTACCTGGTAGAACAGATAGCCACCTGGGAAACGGGCATCAATGTATACCTGTAGGATATTGTCTTCCTTATCCTAACTGATGTGAAAAAAAAAAACCTAATTGTAGCTTGGACCATTGCCTGGGCTGTGTAAATCGAGAAGGTGGGTGAGGACCAGAGTGCACACAGTGGCTATTCCTTTCTGACAGCCAGAGAGATGTAAACATCTGCTTGTAGCTCCCCGCTGCCTTGACTTCCATCCACCATGGACCTCAAACTGTGAGGAAATATAAACCTTTTCAGTTTTCAGGAGTGGAAGGGAATGGCAGAATAAGCAGGAAAAAAATATAAGCATGTGTGATTGGGAAAAGGGAAAGGAGGAAAGGAGATGAGAAGGAGAAATGTAACAGGGAACGGCAAAGGAGGGAAGGGGGAAAGGAAGAAAAGGGGGAAGGGTTAAGAATAATCTCGAAGGAACCCAAACTCTGCTCAAAGCTGGCAACTTTTCAGAAGTGGTTTGCTAAACCTTTATTATTCATTTTGATTCCTCATTCCGCTTGCCAGGAATTCATTTGAACATTTCAAGAACCTTACAAAATATATAAAATGAAACTATCGATGCATACAAAATACAAAATGGTCAATAAGTAAAAACTCTTAAAATGTTTACGAGGTTCCTGCTAAAATTAAACGATGAGATTATGTGCAGGTGAAGTGAGCTTTTCTGCATCCAGGGCTAGCACATAGTAGGAACTGGCATGTGTCTTTGTCAACTCTTTCATGAGCAGTGTGAGACACCCAGGATGACCCATTTGAGATCGAATATTTACAATGGCAAGGAAAAGCAAATGCTTATAGAGCATTCTAATAATGAATGAAGAGCCTGGGGCTTTCTTTTTCCTTTCCAAGTTTATTAGTCTTCTCAAGAGAACACAAGCAGTGGGGCATGTGTTTGTACTTGGAGACATTGGATATAAGAAATTTCTTCACATGATTACAAAAAAAAAAAACATGTTCAACCTATAGTTAGACCAGTAGGCTGGGGCTCAGAGGAACATCCAATGTTTTGGTTCAGGTTCAAAGACCATGTACTGGTAGAGGAGAGTTCCATCCTTCTCAGAGTGTGGCCAGTCTTGGGGTCTTCTTGATTGATGGTAACAGAAACAAATAATATTGTATGTGTACACACCTACACACATACATATATATCTTAGATTTTTTTGAGAATTTTATACATGATTACCATATTTATATCATTTCCACTCTTCTCGTTCTCCCAATTCCTTCAATATCTGCCCTTGACTCCCTTTAAAACTTGTGACTTCTTTAATTTTATGTGTGTGTGTCCTGTGGAATCTGTTTTGTATTGCTTACATGTAATTGCATTTGGAGTTGATTATTTGGGATTAGATAATCTATCTAGGATCTCATCCATGAAGAAAACCAATTCCCTCTCCCTCTCCCTCTCCCTCTCCCTCTCCCT